CAGGTTAAAAAAAAGCGATATAAAATTTTTCCACGGAAAAACGAAACGTTTCTAACAATTACCGGAAAAATCTACAATAACGCGGAGAAGAGAACCCGTCGATAGGCAAACACGATCAATCAATACGAGTAGAACGATATTGTTTCATGGTGTCATCGATGCACACGCGACTCGAATACTCGTTCCGGCCAGGTGACGTTGACAGGTGTCAATTTAGAGGTGGCTGCTGTCAAGAAACGTTACCTTCTGCCGTCGACGTTAAATTATGACCGATCTTAACCCGGCTAAATACTGTTTGCTTCGTTTCAAATATTCCTGCAACTCTATACGTATATACAGTAGCGGTGTATTTGAAAGCAAAGAGTGGGGTGAGGATAAATCGAATAACGGAGAAATATCTACCGTACGTATATGTACGTATGCAAGTTTATATATAGTATGTACGTGTGTTGACACAATATCGTTTTCCAATAGATGACCGATTACCGTGGGGAGTCTTGAATCTTTGTTTAACTTAGAACCGATCGGTATAGTAAGTTCAATTTGTCTGAAAATGAAGCTGCTACTGAATACACGAAACTTGAGCGTCTCTTAGTGGGGCAATTTGTCAGGCTTCTTTTTTAGGAAGGTTTCTTAATTTTGAATTAAACTTGCGAAAATATAATCCTACAATTTCCATATCTTTCGAATTCCTGAAAACAAATTTCTAAATTTCTAACTATTTAGACGCTTAAATTCTTGGACCATAAATCTTCAGATCTACAAACCCTCTTTCCACATATCTCAAATTCCTCAACTCCCAAATCTCGAAATCTCCGAAGCTTCAAGCCTTCAAATTTCCACGTGTCCCAAATTCTTGAACCCCCAAATTTTCACACATCCCAAATTTCTAAACTCTCAAATTTCCAAATCTACAAACTCCCAACCCCCCAAATTCCCAAATGTCCAAACTCTCAACCCCCCAAGTTCCCAAATCTTCAAACTCCCAACCCCCCAAATTCCCAAATGTCCAAACTCTCAACCCCCCAAATTTCCAAATCTCCAAACTCTCAACCCTTCAAATCTCGAAATCTCCAAACTCTCAACCCCTTAAATTCCCAAATCTCCAAACTCTCAACCCCTCAAATTCCCAAATCTCCAAACTCTCAACCCCCCAAATTTCCAAATCTCCAAACTCTCAACCCTTCAAATCTCGAAATCTCCAAACTCTCAACCCCTTAAATTCCCAAATCTCCAAACTCTCAACCCCTCAAATTCCCAAATCTCCAAACTCTCAACCCTCCAAACTCTCAACCCCCCAAATTCCCAAATCTCCAAACTCTCAACCCCCCAAACCTTCAAATCTCCAAACTCTCAACCCCTTAAATTTCCAAATCTTCAAACTCCTCACCCCTTAAATTTCCAAATCTCCAAAACTCCCAATTCCAAATTTCCACATCCTAAAGTTTTCACATCCCTCAAAGTTTCCAAACGCACCGCGAAATTCTCGAATTCAGAAATCTGCAAAGCCTCTCGAGAACTGGGAAATTTCAAGCACCGCGACTGTAGAATCCACAGTCAGAATCAATTGTTGTACGCTTCCGCTTTCGCAAGCTCCCGTTCGCTCTCGCATCCGCGTCAATTACAGGCGGACTTGGCCGGCGGCTTGCAGGGGTAGGAGGATATACATATACCCAGGCGACGGCAACGAGGACCACGGATCTTGATGGTTTCGCTGAGCGGAGCAGAACCGACGCTTGCGTTACGATCCACGAGGAACGGGGAGGAAACAGAGGGACAAACGAACGGCACCGTATACGGGGTAACGTGTAGACGGGGTGGCTGTGCGAGAGAGAGATGGAGAGAGGGACGGAGATGAACAGCCAGAAAAACGATGGGGAGAGGGGAAAAAGACAGGTACGCGTAAAAGGAGAAATATACAGGGTGTCCCTGTTAAATTCGCTTCAATATATGTACATTTAAGCATGTGTACCATTGTTCCACATATGCTATGTGTATGTAATATGCGTAAAGCAATATGTGTATGTAATATGTGTAATTCAATATGTATATGTAATATGTGTAAAGCAATATGTGTATGTAATATGTGTAAAGCAATATGTGTATCTAATATGTGTAAAGCAATATGTGTATGTAATATGTGCAACACAATATGCATATGTGATGTGTGTAATGCAACATATGTATGTGTAACAGCTTTATATAATGTGTATACAGTTACATATGTATGTCACATATGTTACATATGTATATATACATGTATGTTACATATGTATATACACACATATGTTACATATATTACATATGTATATATACACATATTAAAGACGCATGTTTTGCATACGTCGTACGATATGTGTAATGCTGTACAACAAACACATACGTATGATACACGATACGACAAGTGTGTACGTTAATACATAAAATAAGTGTAACATAGTAACAGATATATGATACATATGTAACATTCTACAATATGTACAGAATATGTACCACATTATACGACATCCAGACATGTACAAATTTTTAGATATTTAAACTTGAAAGCTTTAAATCTCAGTGCACCTCTAGCCTCATTGCATTATGCACATACGTGCTTGAAGCCTACTTGATTAGCCTATTAAACTTGATATGTACCGTCACTTATAGACAAGTTATTAATATCAGCACTTGTTTCGCTCGAAACGGTCTCCAATAAAAGCGCAGATTCTTAAGAACCCCTGTCAGACCCCAATACGCAAAAATTTTCTCGCAATTTTCCCCGGCAATTTTTTTGTATCGCTTCAGCAGAGCCACCCAGTACAAGCAACGAGGAGAGGAAGCAAGGCGAGATCCAGCGAGGAAAAAGAGAGAACGAGAGATATGGTCGCAGGAGGTGGTGGAGGAGGAGTAGCAATCAATACAGAGCCACCAGAGCAAAACCATCCCTCGACTTCTCTCTCTCCTACGTTCTACCACTGTCTTTCTCTATCGTTTAGCTATCGTGGCATCTCCATCTTTCTCTGTTCGCCTCCTCCACCCCTAACAGCCACGAATACGACGGTTATATGGATGCTATAGGACACAACGTCGCTAACAGGGACTTTCGTACGCTTCCAACTGTGATGCGTGTGTGCGTACGTTGCTCGATTCTGCTCTCAACGGTCACCTGGATCGAGTTACCTGCGATTATGACCAATCGAACGCACGACTGATCCGCAACGTCGGAAATCATCCATTTTGTTTTCGTTCTTTGAAGCTGGCGAGGGTTTTCGGGTGATGGCGGAGATACTTGGTTAGCTTTGGAGATTGGGAAATCAGTGTTGTATTGATAGATACACTTATCGTTGTTGTATTGATAGATACACTTGTCGTTATTGTATTGATAAATACACATATCATTATTGTATTGATAAATATATTTGCAAATTTCTATGTACACAACTTCTGAAATTGTCGAATAACCACAAAATTTTCTGATTAACAAATGTATCTCACGAATCAGATCAAAGTACAAGTTCCCAAATTTCAAAGTTTAGTCCCAAATTCCCGATATCAGAATAACTCTACTTCAAATTTCCACATGCACGAATTTCCAAATCCTCAAACCCCAAATTTCCATGTCAACAAATTTCTCAATTTCCAACCTTCCATATTAGCAAGTTCTCAAATTCCCCAGTCTCTGGAATGCTTACAACCCCAAATTTCCACATCCACAAATTTCTAAATTCCCAAAGTGCTACATTTCCAAATTCTAAAACCCCAACTCTAAAATTTTGAATACTCGCGTCCCCCAATTCTCTCATCCCCAAATCAAAACCTTTCAAATTCCCAAATCCCCAAATCTCAAATTCCCCGAATTTTAATTTCAATTCCAACTCTCCAAATTGTCAACCCAGCTTCCCAAATTCAACCCCCAAGTTTCCAATCGTTAAAAAATTGAAACTGGTCGACCACCATCTGACACAATACGAGACATCTTTTCGAGCTAAGACTCATACATCACAGGACGATAACGGGAAATCCTGGGGATTTAAATAGTTCCGACTAGTCGTATTGTTCGACCAATGCCACGGTACACCGCCGTTAATTACACGGTACAGTTCAATGCTACATAATTCAAGGGTAAAGAGAAAGGCTGTTTAGTTGGACGTTTGCGATCCACGTGAACTTGGATCCACGGGACCAGGGACCTTGACTCTCCCATCTCTCTTAAACCTTCCATAATACATAAAACGTGCAACGACGTATCGTCGTTGCGTAAAACCTCCCTCCGTAAATAAACGTCAAGAAGGTACATAAAATTCTACCTTTTTTTAATGAATCTCGAGTCACGTCTTTCGTTTAATTAAACATCCAACCCCTTTCGGCACTTTTGCTCCTTTCGTGACTTGAACGCGGCGTTAAATATGAGATCTGATAAAATTTATTTTTAATTTGAATACTTTGTTCTGTGGAATCTCATTATATTGCCGTTTGTTGTAAATGAGGCGAAATAATAATATGGTAGAATGATAATATAACAGAGTACAATAAAATACAAAAACTATTTTAAATTTGTTGAATACTTTGTTCTGTAGAATCTCACTATATTGCCGTTCGTCATAGAAGAGATGAAATAATAAAATAATGCGATAATAATATAATAAAGTACAACAAAATACAAAGACAGCTATCAGATTCAACATTATCTGATCCTTTAATCATTTCTACAAAAACGGCAATATAACAAGAGTCCCCCAAATTACACCTACAGTGCCTCCTAAAAGAAAGTGTAACAAAATAATTTATAAAAGCAAAAAAATTTAACAAACAATTAACAATAAATATTAATCAATATTTGCTTCCTCAAGCTTTCTGAAACCTGAAAACAATTTTTCCAATATTTGTTTATAAAATGATATAAGGCTCATACATGTAGTTATGTATAACAAACAAGTTTTTATCAGAAGATGTTTTACGAGATAATCGGACGTGCATTCAAACTGACGGAGATCATTTTATGAGTGTAAGATACTCACGATTAATTACGAGGCCTCAGCTCATAGTAAAAGCCGGCTCCACGAGGCTCCATCACACCTGAAACAGAGAAATACGAGTTTCCATTAGTATCTCGTCGAACGAGAACTTCTTACATCAATAGCCACACAGGCAATTAGGATGCAAACACGCGGCAATTATGAAAATCTCGCTCGAATTTGCATACTGACCGAATCGTTTATGTGCGCGTGTATTTCTGTATTTAGCGGTTTATCGCTTCGAGAATCTCATTATACCGCGTTCGTTCGCGACCCTTTCGCAGTACGATATCTGTACTGCAATCATTGAGATAACTACTAAATAAATAATTTGTTTATTATTATTTCGCGGTGCCATTTGCGTCTTTGAGTCTCGTGTGCGTTTTCCGGATTAATCAATTGATATGATACAGCTTAATTGGGCTAGATCGTGAGTGTTTGTAGTAATGTGGAGTGATCAATTGGGGGATGCAAGGATTTAGGGATGTGGGGATGCAGGGATTTGGGAATTTTGGAATTTGAGGATAATTTGGGAAATGGTACATTTGGGAATTTGGAGATTGGAAATGTGGGGATATGTGGATTTGTGGACGTGTGGGATTAGGGATATGTGGATTTGGAGATATGTGGATTTAGGGATATGTGGATTTGGGGACGTGTGGAATTGGAGACGTGTGGATTTGGGGACATGTGGATTTGGGGACGTGTGGAATTGGAGACGTGTGGATTCGGGGATATGTGGATTTGGGGACGTGTGGAATTGGAGACGTGTGGATTCGGGGATATGTGGATTTGGGGACGTGTGGAATTGGAGACGTGTGGATTCGGGGATATGTGGATTTGGGGACGTGTGGAATTGGAGACGTGTGGATTCGGGGATATGTGGATTTGGGGACGTGTGGAATTGGAGACGTGTGGATTCGGGGATATGTGGATTTGGGGACGTGTGGAATTGGAGACGTGTGGATTCGGGGATATGTGGATTTGGGGACGTGTGGAATTGGAGACGTGTGGATTCGGGGATATGTGGATTTGGGGACGTGTGGAATTGGAGACGTGTGGATTCGGGGATATGTGGATTTGGGGACGTGTGGAATTGGAGACGTGTGGATTCGGGGATATGTGGATTTGGGGACGTGTGGAATTGGAGACGTGTGGATTCGGGGATATGTAGATTTGGGGACATGTGGAATTGGGGACGTGTGGAATTGGGGACATGTGGAATTTGGGACGTGTGGATTTGACGATATGGATATGTGGATTTGGGGATATGTGGAATTAGGGATATGTGGATTTGGGGATATGTGGAATTGGGGATATGTGGATTCGGGGATATGTGGAATTAGGGATGTGTGGATTCGGGGATATGTGGATTTGGGGACGTGTGGAATTGGAGACGTGTGGATTCGGGGATATGTGGATTTGGGGACGTGTGGAATTGGAGACGTGTGGATTCGGGGATATGTGGATTTGGGGACGTGTGGAATTGGAGACGTGTGGATTCGGGGATATGTGGATTTGGGGACGTGTGGAATTGGAGACGTGTGGATTCGGGGATATGTGGATTTGGGGACGTGTGGAATTGGAGACGTGTGGATTCGGGGATATGTGGATTTGGGGACGTGTGGAATTGGAGACGTGTGGATTCGGGGATATGTGGATTTGGGGACGTGTGGAATTGGAGACGTGTGGATTCGGGGATATGTGGATTTGGGGACGTGTGGAATTGGAGACGTGTGGATTCGGGGATATGTAGATTTGGGGACATGTGGAATTGGGGACGTGTGGAATTGGGGACATGTGGAATTTGGGACGTGTGGATTTGACGATATATGGATTCAGAAATGTGTGGATTTGGAGACATGTGGATATGAGAATATATAAATATGGATTCGTAAAATCACAAAACTTGAAAAGGTAAACCATGGCTTTTCCAAAATACATAAACCTTAATCAAACAATTCATCAATTCAATTCCTGCAACCACAAGTTCCACTACAAAACCCTAAGAAAATGATCCTTCCACCAAATTTCGCAAACGGAATGTCCAGAAAACAATCCGTCTGCGGTCTCCTAAATGGCGGTTCCAAACTTACAGCTCGTTAACGGCCTACGAAACACAAAATCGTCCCCAAACCCCGTACGTATCGACGCGACGACTCCCTCTTTCCCTCCTTTTCTCCATCATCGGCGGACAAAAGTAATACCGCAAAACGAGTAAATTGATTTCGAAGTGGAAACGAGCGAGGGTAATATTTGTCGAAGGCCGGCTATGGTAGTCGCGCAACAAACGGGAGAACGTCCACGTATCGGCGTTCGTTAATACGAAATCAATATTACTCTAGCCACGGCGTCTGTCATCTACGTTTCGTCGGTCGTTCAAAATTTCTACCAAACATCGATGATTTTTATCTCTAAGAGATCGACTCGGCCAACACATATCGCAAGAGTCGATGTTTCTTGAAAAGGTGATATCGCAGCACTGGTAATTAATTTGATGATAAGGATTAAGATTAAAACTCGTATCTCCAAGAGTATACATACAATGACATTGCTAGATCAACGGTGCTTGATCAAATCACCCAATATGATTTAATATGATGATTTAATACGAACTTGAACCACGTCGAACTGACTCTCCCCAAATTAAACCGCCCAAAATTGGCCAACATAGAATCAAATCGTTTAAAATCGACACGTGTGGAATAAAACCTGAATGTGCGACGTCGAACAGCATCGACTCGCGTCTAATCGAATTGATTCGCACGGTACTGCAATTGACTGAAGTCGAATTGTGTACCAAAGACAGGTACCTAATCGCGGTCTGGCTAGGATCCAAATTTCGTCGCATTAACGAAATTAGTATAGCAGAGGTTGGAGATTGGAAGCCGATGTACCGTCACGTAACGAATTTACGCGAAAGGGCTGTAATTTCTCGGCGGCGACCGACAAGAAATCCCCGGGAATTTCGCAAACACACGTTCGCGATTCACGCTTCCGGGACCCTTCAACGGGGATCACGATGGATTTTGCGCCACTTCGTTGTTGGCTCGAATCGAAACCGTCCGACACCCACGATGCATCGTTCGAGAGCACAGAAATTTAAACGGCGGTTATTAAACACGTTTACGAGCGTGTAATTTTCTGCTGTTCGAATATTATTACCGTAAATGTTGATTCGTTAGAAATTATTTTCATTCTGATTCCTCGCATTAAAAGCAGAGGGAATATCTCGCGTGATCTGAACTCGGTGATTCCTTATTCCGAAAATAATTATTCCAGTTCTGTTGATTCCGTGCATTTACGGAACTTAATAAGAACGAATAGGAGAGGAATAAATTAAGGGGGACGAAACACCGTTTGTAGCCCACGGTCTCGTCACACGAGTTCATATCGCGAAGAAAAGCAATAGGAAGTCGAGTACTCTGCTAATCAAATCACTGAACTAACTCATTTGCGTTAATTGAAACGGCGATCCGGGACACGCCGGGGTTCGATCGCGTCTAGACGAGGAAAAAGATCGCACGGATGCGGTTGTTTAATTGGCCCCTGCTTTTGTTTCTCGCCGTTCGAAGATTTCGACGCTTATCAGACCGTCATTAACTTATCTTCTCTAGATAACAACTGACCTAGAGCAATCCAGTCACAAAAATTTTATCCAAAATCTAATCTGAATTTGTCAACCCCTTATACGACTTATTTATCAGGTGTAAGTCAGAACTAACAGCTACAATATTAAAACAGGCCTAAAAGATTGAAATGTTATGTTATTATTCAATCGTTAACTATGCAAATTATAACTTGAATTCCAAATTGAAGCGTAGTCAAAATTTGAGTAAAATTGATCACAGCCGAGGTCGCGAGTCAGACTCAAAATAGTGCAAGTTTTTCAACTTGTTTGACATTACAAGTAAAGCTAATTGCTCGTGAATTCTTGCGAAGAACTTGAATGAAAGGTTCGAGATAATTAGAAGGTGACAATCCTGAGCTACGAGGGGGAAACAAAGTTTCGACAATGGTCGACTGAAGTTTCTCTAGCATTTGTTGTGTTATGGGGTTTAGATTACGTGCTCGGAGTAATTAACCCTTAGACGTGCCTCTGACGCTGGAAAACTTTACATTCTCCTTTTCAGAAGTATGTGAAATTTGAATCGACAGAGTTGACAGATCTTTCGGAATAATTTGAACGAGATGATTTAACGATCGTTAGATTCGGGCTGGTTTAGATGGAAAGGAACGATAACGGTAATTCATAAAGGCATCAAGACAAGGAGAAAGCGTAGGAGGGATTAATTGTTATTAGTATCAGTTATCTAGTACATTCGAGTGTTACGGTAATTTAAGGCGTTTGTTACTGTTACAGGCATTATGCATTATTCATCCGGTATGCAAATTCGAGTCGGTTCTGCTGTACACGAACGCGTTACGTGAAAAATACGATAATGCGTGGCCGCAGGTATATACACTGTCAGACAAAAGTTCGAATCGATTAGATTTTTCTGAAAAAATTTAAGACCATATCGAGTTCCTGCATAAAAATATTTTCCTTCGCTTTCGTAATCCATTGTCTTACGTCATTAAAACGTCGTTAGGAACCGTACACTTTACATGTATTGTACAAATATGCTAATGCCTTTCTAAGCGATAGATAAACGCAGAAGCGACATTATTCAAGCGAATTGTGATAAATAAAAAAATGCACAGGTCGAGAGATTTTTCAAACTTTTGACCAGAAGTGTACATCGAGGAATATGAACGAAAGTAGTTTGTTCTCGAACGGGATTTAAACGTGCATTTATGCAATTAGTCTTCGGAACGGCCGTTTTTTCTGCGAATGGCAATTTGGGGAGGTAAATTGTCGCCCGGAGAATTATTCGTAAAAATACCCTATCATCGGTGTTCGCGTGAAAGCAAAATCGATAAACCATTGGAATGATATTTATAATAGAGGGTGTTCAAAAAAATGGTTCGAAAATGGGTCATCCAACAAATAAACAAAAATTAAGTAGTATGTTATTTTAGAGCAGTGTTCACTTAATTGGGTCTTGGACGATCGGTGAT